ATATGCGTTTTTGCTGGCTGTAGCAGCGCTGCTATAGCGCTGCACAGCAAAAACGCATAAAAAACGAGAACAATTTACGCCATGTCACTTATGGTACGACAGGGCGAAACAAACACTCAGTCAAAAAGTGCAGGAAACAATTTTGGTCGCAAGATTTAGCATGAAGTCGCTCGAGATCACATTTGTTCGCATCGCAAACAAGTGGTGAAAAAAGTTAAATAGTTATTGGCTCGATGAAGTGGTATTCTCCCAAACAGCGGTCATCTCAGGACAAGATCACAGAGATGGCGCAGCTTGTCAGATAATGTTTCTAACTCGTGACCACATGTCAGTTACAGTAAAAGTGACTTGTGAAACTCGAATTCATCCCTAGGCTGAAATTTTTAGTTAGGTACGCTAGAGCTCTTAATTTTTTTGGCGCTTTGAAGCCCACACTAGTGAAGAAAAAAATCCCATGGCTTGATGCAGTCCACTACGGCAGCATCTCTTTAATCGTCAAAGTAGCCAAAACTGCATAATCGCAGATTCCACTAACACTAAAGTGCATGTCCTGTCCCTCCCCCCCTACTCACTTGCAATGAAAATAAGGAAAGAAAAAACTTGAAATCGAAATTAGAAAATCGGATTCAAACTAAACATACAGATTCCACCAGTACCAAATCATAAAAAGAATGGAAAAAATACTTGGAATCGAAATTAGACAAATTACAAAATTATAAAAATGCACAGATTCGAACACTATTAAAGCGCAAAGAGCATAAAAAACATTTAGAACTGAAACTGTGCACATTAGTTACCTTTCAGCAGTATGATAGCTGTCAGTTTTAGCTGCTGCTTCATCGTCATGCGCCGCCTTATCAGGCGATGAACTCGAAACAAGGATTCGTTCTGGTGCCGATGCGCAATCGTGAAACGATGGACTGAAACCATCAAATTTCATATTACGCAAAATTCTTAATAAACCACTTTAAAACACTCCTAAATTTATTGTTAGTTTTTTGTGCCTGGGTTAAACACCCCTGCCATCAGCTTGCTTCTAAGCAGCATTGACATCAAGAGAATACCTCGAAGTGCTTCACGCTCTCATTAAAATAGTAAATAGGGGAAAGAGGAGTGCACTGACTTTTGATGTTTTATATTAAATTTCCAACTATTTTCATACAAACCTGCTCTGTGAATAGGATTCTGTAATGGAAGTCATTGATTGCTGATCTTCCGATGTCCCCGGCTCAGTGGTCGATTTTTGCCCAGACAATGGAGATTCGTCTTCAGCTGTTTCGGTATCCTTAAGGGCGCTCCTTGGCGTACGTTTTCTTTGTCTGCAAAAAAACCAGCTAGAAATGTACTACAAGACTTAAAAAAAGGATTTTAGGTTGAGTGATTTGATTCCAAGAAATAAACAACAATTCAACAAATCTATTTAGTTTTCACCATAGTTACTATTACTAAGACTCTTTGAACAATCGCTGTGAAAATCCGCTGTTATGTTGCTTCGAGGATGCTCACATATATCAGACCCAGTTGTGTCAAATTTTTCGGTCCTATGATAGACATCTCTAGTTAGTACTCACCCCTGCCCAATATTTTTGATAAGCAAATAAGTGTTCGTTTATTTCCTCGCACGTAACGCTCACTAAGTGTTTCGTCCATCTGTTGCTAACAGGATGAGCAACAAGCCCTGTTATTCGAACCTAGCCGCAATGACATCTTGCATGCCGTTTGTCTAAGAGGGCCTGTCTGTTTGTTTAAATAGTCGCAAGACACTCTGAGCGCCCTTCACTTCATCGCTCTCTCCATTACAGCCAACGTTCGCTCTTCAACTTTCGTTAACGAACCGTTTCGCACCGCGCATGAATTTCTTCAATGCTGCGGTACTGAACAGGCGCGTACAGTTCTTTCGGTTCGAAATTTTAAAACGATCATCATTATGTTGTAAATTAACAGAGAAGAAAGGATTTTCCCCCGTGTTCTTTCGAAGTTATTAGCAAAACCCTTCTACATAATAGAATTTCTCAAAATGTTTTGTCAGTGAGTCGAATAGCTCCTCAGATATATTAAAAATTATTTGTAAGGCGTTATAAAAAGCGTGCCTTTCCTAACCTTGGTCAAGAATGAGTTAAAACTAGCTTAGTGCCGAGTTATGCGATCTTTATTCATGCTTGGCCAAAAACTTTACTCTGAAATACTATGTGAAATGAAAGCTCAGAGCAAAAACAAGGGACGGAACCTTTCCGGTTTTTCGTCTAATCCGAGCCAGGTCAAAATTTTTTGCTTCCATCCTCGTTTCACTGGTTGTGTTTGCAGCAGAGGAGGTTGCTCCGGTTGCTCTGGCTGTTGTTTTCTTTGCTGTACAGTTTCTTCCTCGACCGTTTCCTCCGATTCTGATCGTTCCGCTTCACTTACGCTCCTTAAAAAAATATTTCCAACTTCGATGAAACTAGCACACCGGCACCAGTTATGACTGGCTTTCCTCACTCCCAATCATACAGCTAGTATCTGCAGGCGCCTCATACATATAAACTTATATATTAACACTTACTGTCTGGAGCACTTGTAGGTACAAATGTTTCAGGTAGTAAATGTTAGTATATAAGTTTCATAATATTTGAAACTTGTCTTCTAAATTTGGATAACTTTTCTTTTTCTAGATAATTATTTAAGTCAAAACTGAGGAAGAATGGAATCTGAAGCACCATCTAACCTGAGCTCACGGACGTCTTTTTGATCCGGGTGATAAACTGTACAACCACTCGGTTGAAGAAATACTATGAGCTTTACAGTAATGAATGATTGTACAAAAGCAAAAAATTTTTACTTTAATGATGGGACATAAGCGCGCAGATCCTTATTGCTCCTCCTGTACGATCTTTCCGACGAAAACTCGTCATCCTGAAAGGAAATCTCTCAAAATCTACAGCTTCAGCAAAAATTTTTTGCTCTCTTTTTAGGACGCCCTAACAAACGCAGTATTCTGACAAGCGACAATGTCTGAAGGGGAGCGGTCACTAGGCCAGCTTCTTAAAAGTTAGTGCCTTCAAGAAGCTAGAAGCAGAAGGATCTGGTATAGCTGCGCTGGAGTGTAAAATTTCAGTAATGCCACTAAAATCGGATCTTCACGCCGACCGCTTTTGGGGTTCTCGGTAATACTTATAAGACAGGGCGATCATAGCAGTAGGCAGAAACTAGTACTTCTGCAAAATTTCAGGAAAAAACGATACTTTGACACCAAAAATATCAGGATGTCCGGCCAGTCATTGTGAATATCTCGTATTAACTTTATTGGAATGCTTCCACATGCCGTGCATCCAACTGTGCGGGGCCTTTCAATTTTGGCTAAACACCTCGTGTTGGTACTCATTGCTCGTTCGATGTATTTGCTTTAGCTCTTTCGGAGCAACCCAAGTGGCCGTTTTCTTCCTCCCAAGTACCATTCATTTCAATACTTCTGTTCAAATTCACTCCGTGGTTCTTTATCTATGAAGTTGGCAATTTTTCCAGAAGTGTTTTAACCAGTGCTTAACGGTCAATTTGTTAGCAATCCTGGCTTTTGTTACAAATACAATGATGAAAAGAAGTAAACTGGAAATGACAAAACAAAACGAACCGTAACATTACTACTTTTGCTCGGTGAGCTACTGCTACTGCTGTCTCGAGATTTATTCGCAAGCGAACGATGATGATGTGCCATCGCTGTATTGTTACTGTTATTTGAGCGCTTCTTGCCACCACCCGCCAGTTCGAAGATTTTCTTCTTCTCCTCTGTTCTTTCCTTTAAATTAACAAAACGCTGCACCGAAAGAACGAAAAGATGCAAAAAAGAGACGGACAGGATTCAGCGCTAAATTTCAAATCGCAGTTTTAAGCAGTTGGAATAAGTTTTGACCGTTGTTGCGACGAACGCGACAAGGAAACGAAAGGATTGTGATACATGGTTTTTTCCGGTGTTGCGATGGAAGAGGAAAGGAATATGATTTTTCCTTTCAAAAGCTCCAGACCGAATGTGATCTTGTGATAATGAGTTTTTGTGCTGTGAAAATGTGTTTGTGTACTTGCGTATCAGCCGGCGGATCTCCGTCAGCGGAAACTAGTTTTTGTAAAGCTTCGCGCGCCTCTTAAACACCAGGCCTTTTTGCTTTTACTTTCTTTCGGGGCCTGCAGGCTTTGATGCTTGGAGTCTGTCACCACGGGGGAACTACGACCAGAGTTGCTGGGATTCGACCACCACCACGCGCATCTGCGTGCGGCAGTTGCTTGGCTATGCACTTCTCCACGCCAATCAGTTCCAGTTGTTGAATCAGGTTAGTTAACCGACGCAACAACTGACAGGTAGTACAGAGTGTGCATTCTTAGAAGCCGTCATACGGCCCGTACTGCCTTTCCTACCTTAAAGTTGACAAAAATACTAATGTATTCTACAAATGAAAGCTGTAACTTATCACGCCGAACTTTTAATTATTCAAGTACTGTAAGTTTTCGTGTCTTATGCAAAACTCCAAAACTAACCTCCGTATGCTGCTCTCTACTTGATTATAACATTACTGTCTATTTGAACGTATAGTCATTGGTCAGAAAACACTATAACCGAGAAATTTGTTCGAACATAAATTCACGCTACAATACAGGCAAGCTAAGTTAATAACCGTTCAAGTTTATAACTGTCGCACTACTCTAACGGTACAAATATGGATTTATGGTTACAGTTTTGAACCAGAAAAAGTCTCGCAGTTGAAGTTAAGAAAGATGTTTTGCAGCACTTGGCTGTATTCGACTTTGCATCATTTAGCTCGATATTCGCAATTTTATGTGTCATTTTAAGTTCAAACAATCACACTAATTTCGAAATGAGGCTGGGAATAAAGAGACCTAGAAGTCTGATGAAAGTGCTTGATCTTGCCCGATGTCCAACTTCTTAGTTTCCACAGTTGTTGAAGCAAGCTTTCAAATACACATACATATATACATACACACAAACATACACACACAAATATGTCATATTCCTTGAATATCATTTATAACTCTGTTTGAACCAAACAAGTAAATTAACATTAAATAAATACAAAACATTTCTACGGGTATAGAAAAACCTAAAAATTTGAAAAAAACACTCACATGCATTAGCTGTTTTGTGAGATCAGTATTTGCCTCACGTAAGCCACGCACCAGTGCAAAAAGGAAATAAATGGTTAGTAGAAGGAGTAACAATACTGGTATAACAATGCCCGGTGAAGTCATGTAACGAATCGCATCCACTAGTCCTTTCGTTAAATTACGATCAAGCAACTGCACAATTATGCTGTAGAAACGATCCTGACTACTGAAACGAGACAACCAAAATTGGAATTTTGTGCTTATTTTAATAAAATATGGGACGATCATCATTTTTCGTGGAAAAGGACAATTTTGAAGGGTCTGTGAGAAGAAGGAGGCAGTATTTTTAAAAGCTTACCAGAAATAATAAGTTCTGGACTTCTTAAAAATAGCGAATAACTGTTACGAAAAGAGCAAGAAATAGCTTACCCAAATGGACCACATATTTTAGATGGTTTCTTGGAGGCAATGACGTATCCTACCGGCAGCGTACATAAAAACAGCATGAGCAACAACAGCATCAAATAGAAATTACTGGATCTGAAATCCAAAACAAACTGGATGTATTTGAGCATCGATTATCTGTCATTAGACATGGCTCAGAAAGCTTTTGCCGACAGAACCTTTCATAATTCAGAAATAGACGGATGCAGGAAGCCCCCCCCCCCC